TATATATATATATATATATATATATATATAAAATAAGAAAAGGACGGAGTGGAAACTGTACACAAATACATCCTACACTCCTAATAGGAAAATGCAACTAAACCTAAACAGACTAGTTCTGTGTTGATGGCAGAGCCGTACACAAATGTGCTGTTTGCTCTAAAGGAGACATTGCTCAATAACCATGAGGATAAGATTTGTTATTGTAATTTTAATGGAAATATCATAGCACTAGCATTTTCATTTTCCTCATCCAGAATGTTCTCTCTCTCAGGCAGAATGCTACACTGCATATTTGCTGTCAAATCAGTTGAACATCCTTTTATGACTGGGTGCAGAAAACCATGTTATTTCTTTGCTTGACCTGATTTCTTCCTACCCTTCAATTAATGGAGTTTTGCTGCATTCCCCACTTGTTCAGCCTCTAATACTTTTCATCAGATTTACAAAACAAGAAGCTGTAGTTACAGATTCTAGATAAAAGAAGACGCACTAGCTCTGTAAGAGAAAGGCTTTAAAAGAATCTAAATGCTTCACTCTGGATGTGGCCGGAAAGGCAAAAAGAACCGTTTACAGTTCCACTGTGTGGGATAAAAGGTGATACAAGGTACCCCTTTCCACTGTGTACCTTGGAGCTGTTTATCTTTGGGCCTCCATGGCAGCACAAAAAGAAATGTGGATGCACCAGAATGCAAAGGCATGTTTATACATTAACTACCCTGCCATTTCAGAGGATGGTGAGAGGATTACAAACTTTGCAGAATTTCTTAGCATAAAGTCTGTTTGCCTGAGCTTGGTGCAAGAGAGCATTTGAGCCACTAATTTCATTTTAAACAAACTGGCTATGTTACCTGGATCCTTTTTTTGCGTCATCAAAGTAGTTGGTGCCAGATTGGTTATTTGGAACCGTAGGAAAATCAGAGACTCTCTCGGTTGTCCTAAAAGGCAACAATGAGATTAATGTCAAAAAACACTTTGTAGATTGATGGGGCTTTGAGAGCGGGGGCATTCTTTTATTAAAGAATGGCATGAATTTAGATCTCCTGTGGCAGACTGACAACCCTACGGTTTTAAGCCTTCTGTATCCCTACAGCAAGTAAAGTCTTGGCAATAACAGCAGCACTTTTTTCATGCTGCTGCCTCAGTGATCTCAAAGAACCACTTCTACTTTGTGAGTCAGTTGTTCAGTGTCTACCACCAACTAGTCCTTCATATTTTTAATGAAACTGATCATAAGGCTGGCAATTAGTGCCTTAGGAACATAAGAAAGTAAGGCTGAAAGGGACCTCATGAGTCATCTAGTCCAGCCCTTTGCTCAAAGCAGGATCATCCCTGACTAGACTAACCCAGCCAAGTGTCTATACAATTTGCTCTTGAAAATTTCCAAGGATGGAAATTTCATAATTTCTCTAGCATGTTCCAGTGCTTGACTGCCCTCACCATCAGACAGTTCTTCTTAAATTCCAAGTTAAATTTCCTCTGCTGCAGCTTGAGGCCATTGCACTTGGTCTTGTCCCTTATGGCTACAAAGAAAAGCCCATCTCCTTCCCCTCTATAATCTTCCTGTAAGTATTTGAAAGCTGTTATCAAATCCACTCTCAGTCTTCTCTTTTCCAGGCTAAGTAACCCTATTTCTTTCAGTCTTTCCTCATAAGTGATCAGAAGCTTGCATAGCAAGCCATACGAGGAAAGGCTCAGGGACCTGGGACTCTTCAGCCTGAAAAAGAGAAGGCTGAGAGGGGATGTGGTAGCAGCTTAATGCTACCTCAGGGGCGTACATCAAGGGCTCAGTGAAGAACTGTTCACCAGAGCACCCTTGGGGAAAACCAGGAGTAAAGGTCACAAACTCCTAGAAGATCGATTCAGGCTCTACATTAGGAAAAGCTTCTTCCCAGCGAGGTTGTTCCGACTGTGAAATGAGTTCCCTCCAGAGGTGGTACAATCACCTACCCTGGAAATCCTCAAGAGGAGACTGGATGGTCACCTTGCTGGGGTCACCTGACCCCAGTTGTCTTTCCTGCTTGATGCAGGGGGGCTGGACTCAATGATCTTCCAAGGTCCCTCCCAGCCTCACAATCTATGAAGCTATGAATCTATGAAAGTTTTGCTTCCCAGGCCCCTACTCATTTTTGATACTCTCTCCAATCTGTCCACATCTGTCTTGAAATGCAGGCTCGAAAACTGGATGAAAAATTCCAAGTGAGGCCTCACCAGTGCTGAACAGAGTGGAAGAATCACTTCCATTGATTTGCAAGTGACACTCCTGTTAACACTACAAAGTACACTGTCGGCCTTTTTTGCAACAACAGCACTGTGACAGGAGTGCCACTATTGGAGCCTCTCCGGGTATGGCTCCGCCCTCCTGTAATGGGCCAACCGCCTGCTTACTCGCCTGCCATGCCTTGATCTTATTTAATTAATAGATTGCTGTAATTAGCAGGAGGCTGCCCAATTATACACGCCCTGCTGACAGGGGGCGCTCTCTGCAGCTCCTTTTCCTCCCCTACACTGCAGCCCAAGCCTCACAGATGGTGCTGGTGTAATCTGACTCTGGCCCTGTTATGTCTCGGCCCTCCTTTTGCCCTCGGGGCCCCTCTGCACTCTCAGGGCTCCTCGCCGCCCCTCTGCACTCTCCTCTGCACTCTCGGGGCTCTTCGCCCCCTCTCTCTCTGGGGGCTAGGCCAATGCACCCCACAAAACACTGCCCCTTCTCTGGCGCCAGGAACCCCCACGCTACTGGGGAGTCCCTATGAGGCCTCCTCCAACCCCTACAACCTCACCCGGTCCTCAGGTTAAACAGTAAACACAAAACACAAAGCCCCCAGGCTATAACATAAAGCTAAACCATCTGGTCAAACAACAGTTAATCCCTACCAGGCAAAAATACTCCAGCTCATGGCAGCAACCTGCAGACTCGTGCAGCCAAACCTTGGCCTTCTCTCCACACGGGCTGAGCTCCTCACTCCTTGGCTGCCAGAGGAGGAACTGCCACCCTAGCCTCCTGCCTGGGTTTAAGAAGGGCTAAGCCCTGCCCCTTCCTGTGCTGCCCTGGTGACTGGCAGCTGCACCTCCCCCTTCTCACCACTAGGTGCCTCTCTTGAGCCATCCCTGTTCTTAGGCGCAGGGCACCTAAGTGCTCTGCGACAAGCACACTGTTGGCTTATATTCAGTTTATGGTCTACTGTAACCCTTGGGTCCTTCTCTGCAGTATTGCAGCCTAGCCAATCATTCCCCAGGCTGTATTTATGCATGCAATTATACTGTCTCAAATTCAGGACTTTGCACTTGTCCTTATTGAATCTCATCCGATTGATTGAGGATCATTTCTCCAGTCTATCCAGGTTATTCTGGATCCTCACCCTGTCCTTCATTGTGTCTGCAACTCCACCCAACTTGATGTCATCCACATATTTGCTAAAAATTCACTCAATCATTAATGAAGAAGTTAAACAATACCTGATGCAGGACAGAGCCCATAGGAACCCACTTGATACTTCCTTAAACCTAGACATTGAGCTGTTGATGATTACTCATTGAACACAATGATCCAACCAGTTATATATGCACCTTACAGTACTTTTGTCTAATCCGTATTTCTTTTATTAATGAGAATGTTGTGAGGAAACAGTGTCAAAAGTCTTGCTAAAGTCATCCACTGATCTCCCCCCATTCACATAGCCTGTCATCTTATTATAGACAGAAATCAGGTTGGTCAGGCACGATCTGTGCCTGCCGAATCTATGCTGGCTGTTCCTGATCACCTTGATCTCCTCTGGATGCTTCCCAATAGATTTCTTGAGGACCTGTTCAACAATCTTTCTGGGTATTGAAGTCAGGCTGCTGGGTCTATTTTCAGTCTAGAATTAACCTACCTTCCTACTCTCCAAGTCTCCTCCCTAGCATGCTCAACCACATTCCACATCCACCCACCAGTGATATCATTTACCTAAGGAGGCCTCTAGGGTAGGATCCTGGTGACAGTTACCAGCCACTCTCCGTTGTTATCTCCAGAGAGGTACTTTCTTATCTTGCTTCGAGATATTCTGAATGCTGCCTTATTCTAAAAGAAGCTACTGAGGAAGGCTACCATCTAGTCTTTCCTGGCATTAGTATGATGACTACTACCCATTCAAATATAAATGTTCCAGATAATTGACTGGCAAGGGTATTGAAAAGGAAAATCCCATGTGGATCTGTCAGTAAGGGAGAAAAGGCAGAGTGCTAATGGATATGAAGAAGATATGCTTCCTGACCAGGGATCCTGGTTTTCTCTGATTTTAAAAAATTATCAATTTTCGGTTTAAAAAAAGTAACCCCAAATCCACATTTTTCCGTGAATTAAATGAAACACCTCTAATATACGCATATTATATATAGATATAGATATAGATATAGATATAGATATAGATATAGATATAGATATAGATAGCGGTGTTTCATTTTAATCATAGAAAAATGTGGATTTGGGTTTACTTTTTCTTAACCAAAAATTGGGAATTTTTTTTTTCAATCAGAGAAAATCAGGATCCCTGTTCCTGACAGTATAGTAGGGCATGCACAAAGCAAATCTACTTTAATTACTGAACACACCAAATGGGATTGGAGGGCCTTTGGACTTTATGCCAAAAAACAAGATCAAGTACGTTGATATCGAGTAGTTTAAAGGGAAAATCTGTTGGAGCAGGATGCCTATGTGGGGATGCAGAAATATAGAACTGGCCTATATGTTTGTTTGCTTATCTTGAACTTTAAACGCATTAAGTTCCCCCTTACTCATTTTCATTTCTCCTTGAATGCTACAGTGTTGGTGAGGATTTTCTATATGCTCTTGTTGCTATTTCTGCAAAATTAACAATGGAGTTTTGGATACTACATTTCAAATAATGGCTAACAGAACAGAACAAAAGAGAGATATACAGATCTTGGTAACAGAAATATGGAGCCAATCATGTTCCTGTCTTGTTTTCACTAGATTTTTGTTTCAGCTCAGGAACAAGCCAGACGGAGAATAGATTCTAAAGAGCATGATGTCATCCCTGTGTTGGTGTACTAAGGCGATGGGTCTATTAGAAATGACTAGCTACACAAAACACACAGACTGTTGTCTTATTTCACCAAGACATCGCAGGATTCAGGCAGAAGTACCATGGTTCCCTGCAGCTTTTACTGCTGTAAACATGATGTGCTACAGAGCATAAAGCAAAACCTCATCAAAGTAATGAAAGGATTTAAATAGTAAGTGCTGATAATTTTCACATGATTTTTCCAATGAAGCTCAAAGGCCACTAAGTTCTGATTTTACCAATGGTTGCATTCAGAGAACACAATGACTCTGAGTCCTAACATTGGTTATTTTGCCTGCAGTTTGATTTACTGTACTAGATAGCCAAGGTATGGACCTCTGTTAAATGAACCCTCCTAAGAGCTGGACAATGTTTTACATGCACAGCATGCAACATAAAGCAGTATCCTCCATTATACCTTAACCATGATTTGGCCAGTCTATTTTTAGGGCTGAGAGAGAATCTCATTCTCTATGTACTTTCAGTATTTGCCACTCCTTTGAGATTTTCAATTAGGTTTTTGCTTGATTAGGACTTCTGATGTGGACACTTGTATATTAAGAAAAAGATTAAAATTACCTTTCAAACATCTAATATTTTAAAACTTTCTAAATAGAAATACAAAATATAAAATAAATATAATATACTGTGAGTATTCTACCTAAAAATTAATCATTAAAATTCAGTTTCATGAAACAAATAAAGTCCATAAGACTTCATAAGGAACCCTAGAAGCACTGGAGAATGATAGAGCATCAGTGAGCCTTACCTGTACTTTCTTGAGACATCCTGGCCCAGATCTTAAAGGTATTTAAGCAGTTAATTCGTATTTAGAAGCCTAAGTCCCATAGAATTCAATAAGAATCTGGCATTTAAATATATTTATAGCTCTAGTCCAAAAATTTTTGCATGTACTGGGGAGAGAGGCTGGATGGGGGAGGGGAGAAGGATCTTTGTTCAGATATTTTTTTTTGATGAGTGAAATGAATGCGGTTATATAAGCGTATATTTTCAAAACGGAACAAGTAAAGATTGCTCTCTCACTGAAAAGCTATAACTTTTGCTTTCTTGCATTAAGGAAAATATTCCTATGCATAATACTATGCAATGACAAACCCTTTCAATATCCAGTGAGTGTAAAGGATATTTATCAGTTGTGTCTTACCCCTTTTTATTTTGGTCCACAGATTTCTTTACTTCAATGACATCAACAAGGTCTTGACCTCTGTGAAAATGAGAAATACCTTACTGTAAGTTAAAATATTTGATTTAACTATAATGAGCCAGAAGGATGGATTTACTTTTTTTTAAAGGAGGGAAAAATGTGTGCTTTATAAAAGTATGATAGATTGCTGAATACACTGAAAACAAGTTTCAAATGGCTTATATTGAGAATTATTTATGAAGTATGCAACATTACTCAAGATATTAATACAGTACTTATTCTAAAAGAAGCTAATAAGAGAGACTACCATCTAGACCTTCCTGACATCAATATGAGGACTGCTTCCTGTTCAAATAAAACTTCCCCAGTCAATTGACTGGCAAGGTGTAACAGAGAGCCTGGGGCTCTCTGTTCCTCTAAGGGAGGAAGCAGCCTAGCCAGGGAGCACTACAGGCTAGGCAGGACACCGGGGACACCGGGGCCACAGGCTAATGGAGCAATTAGCACGTACCTGCCAGTGGTCTGCTGATCAGATGTAGGCAGGGCCCTGGGCGCTTATAAGCCCAAGGCTGAGGCTGGCTCAGGGGATTCTCTCCCTAGCAGCTGCAGGGAAAGGAGCTCTGGCCCAGGAGAGCCCAGGGGTGCTAGGCTGACCACTTTGCTGCTTGCAGGAAGGCTCAGGCTCGGGGAGCTCACAAGGAGCCAGGCTGGGAGGTATGCTGGCCTAAGGGTGAAGGAAGGTTTGCCCTCTTAAAGGGGCAGGGGGCAATTTCCAATGTTATTCATGTTATATCCCAGAGGCTTGTGTTTCTGTTGTGTTTATACTGGAGGTTTGGGATGAGGCTGTAAGGGGAGGTTCGGAGGCCTCAGTGCCCAGAGGGATGCAACTGGACAGGAGCCAGGGGGCCTGGTGCCAGAGAAGGCGCAGCCACACAGGGGGCTGGGGCCCAGCAGATAGGGGCCAGGGGCCTGGTGACAAAAGGGACGAACAAAAACTAGTGCCTCAAAGCCAGGTCTGATTCAGTGGGCCCAGGCTAGAAGGTTTAGGTAGATCAGAGGAGTGGAGGCCAAAGAGGCTGAAGCTCCAACAGAGGGAACAATATCCTTGTAACACCTGTGAAGCATGGGGCATGGTAAAGGGAAGGATTTGGAACCACGCAATTAGCCCTTAAAGCTTTAGGTTCCTGGCCAGGCACAGTTAACTGTAGTGGCCCAGCCAGGGGCCTGGGGACCAGTAAGGACCAGTAGGGTGCTGGGAACCCTAACAGGGGTTCAGTGGAACCAGGGCTACACAAATATCTGTGGGCATCCTCCCTATTTATCATTATTCCATCAAGGTGTAGCAGGTGAGACAGATGTGGAAGGTGCCAGAGGGGTGGAGTGTGGCATGATCACAGCCACCCTGGGACCCTGACGTGTTACTAGAAAGGAAAATCCCAAGTGAACTGACTGTTAAGGGAAAGAAGGGAGAGTTCTAATGGATTTATTACTTGATTCTGTAGTTCTGACATGAATTCATTGCTTCCAGTATACTCATTTAGGCTGCTTACAGACATGGGAGAAGAAACAATGCTTTACTTTCAGCTCAGTGCGCCCCTGCACTAACCACAGTGCATGCCCAGAAGAGGCACTGTGTTAGTTTGACCTGGCTTGCTCAATGTCTGTATAGATTGAGCGCTTCAATAGGGCTTTTTGGCGCATCAATGGGGCTTTTTGGCACTTTTATCTAATAGCTGGTTAAATCAGCTTTAGATAAAAGCATCAAAAAGCCCCACTGAAGCTCCCAATCTATACAGATGCTGGAGAGCCAGGTTAAACTGACACACTTCCTCTTCCAGTAAAGCAATGTTTTGTTTTGTTGTTTTCATGCAGTGGCCTAAAATGAGCTTATGTAACTGCCAAGACCAAAACAGTTTCCACAATTAAAATGTAACTTCTGTAGATTCATAGATTATAAAACCAGACAGGACCTACATATATTATCTACTCTGACCTGTATAATTCACTGTAAAATTTCCCTGAATGCTTATTTGAACAGGGCTTTTAGAAAAGTATTTAATCTTAATTTAAAAATTTAGTGATGAATAATCCATCATAGCCATTGGTAAATTGTTCCAAAGGTTAATTATCCACCTTGCTAAAAATGATACTTTAGTCTGAATTTGTCAGGTTTCAACCTCCAGCCTAGGAGTTTCTTATACCTTTGTCTGCTTGACAACAAGCTGTTATTTTCAATTTTCTGTCCTCCAGGTAGGTACCTCCAAACTGTAATCAAGTTACCCCTTAACATTACTTTCATAAACTAAATAAATTGAGCTCATAGTCTCTGCTATTAAAAGGCATGTTTCTTAATCCTTTAATCATTCTTGAGGTTCTTCTCTAACCATTCTTGAGCGGTGGGTGGTGGAACCAGATATAGTATTCCAATGGCAGTCACACCCATGCCAAATACCGAGATAATACTACTTACACAATAACTTTCTATTTGTTTATCTAGAAATTAATAGTGTCTGCTTGCACCCAGCTTACCAAAAAATCCAGGCTGCTCTGTTTCGATGACCTGACCTCTTTGTTGCAGTATTTACACTTCCCCCAATCTACGTCACCCGCAAACCATACCAGTAATGATTTATGTTTTATTCCAGGCCATTGATAAATTGATTGTTCCAGGCCATTGACTGTAAATGTGTAAACTCAAGAAATAATCCCTGAGAGGAAACCCTGTAAAAACACATCTACTTCATGATTCCCCATTTGCAGTTAGCTGATTGGTAATTAACTCAATATGCACCAGGTTGATTTTGTATTGTTCTAGTTTCCTAATCAAAATGTCACATGGTACAAAGTCAAATGCCTTACAGAAACCTGTTAGATGTAGTTCCTTTGGTTTTGGAAGAATATTTAATAGTATCTATATATAACTACATTTTATTCCTATCTCTGACAAAAATAGAACATAAGATGCAAATAAAATAAACCAAAAATCAAATTGGCTCTATCAGACCTTTATTATTATGGATGAAATGCTTCTGTTTATTTTAGGATGGAAATGTTTCACACACCAGGAAAGGGAGAGCTGAGTTATGTGCTAGTTTTCCCTTAATTAAAAAAAAAACCCCTTCGGTAATGGAATCCCCGATTAAGATCAAAAAGCAAACACACTGCAACATACTAATTTTTAACCTAAGAGAAAACAAGATCAAGAAAGAGATTCTAAGAAAAAAAGGAATATATTTCCCCCATCAATCCATTTTTCTAGCATTTTTGCTTATTATTGCAAGGTCAAATACTAACATTAGTGTCACAGAGAATGTCCCAGGGGTACAAGCATGGGGGCTATGCACACCCAGAGAGGAAACCCCAAGAGTAAAGAGTGCTTGCTTACTTAAGACTCCAGACACTAGACAAGCGCTGCTGATGAAAAAAAACTGAGCAGTTCATTAGTCGCGCTTACATACAGCTGGGTCTGGCGGGTGACGTCACGAACAAGCACCAGCCAGTCAGGATAAAAGCTGGTGCCAGCTGGGAGCAAGAGAGAGCAGGAGAGGCAGCGGAGGCTACAGATGCTCTCCCCACTGGCAGCAATCAGTGCTGGCTGGACAGAGGAGACTCTGATCAGGTAGGGATGCCTTGAGAGCAATGGCTACAGAGAAGCCCCACGCCAGTCACAAATGGTACCACCATGTGGGAAGAAACCCTGCTCCAAGAGAAGCAGGGACAAGCACGGAGGACAGTGGACACTCCCCACACTTGGACGCTTGCAGCCCAGGTTGTGAGAGAAGAATTAACCTAGAGCGAGGTATGGGAAGCCCTCAACTAGCAGAGGGCGGAGCAGTGTCGAGGGATGTGGCAGGGCACAGGCTCTAGGGTAGAGCCAGTATAATAAGGCAGTTCAGCCTCATCTTTCCTTTTTCATACCTGTCTTGTTCCTATAATTGGCATCCTTGCCTTTTTTCTTCTTTCTGTCCTGTGCCTATTCCTCAGTTGCCTTCTGTTTTATTTTGTTATTCTATTTCATTTACTGGTGACTCTTCACTGAGGGCTCCAGGAGACAGCTGTACAACTAGGACCACTCATGAAGAGTGGCTGACAACTAGCAGGAAGTACAGGAGATCCGGAGGAGAGAGGAACATCCTACAGACCCAGAGTCTATTAAGAAAAGAAGAAGACCCAATACCTGAGATTATGCGACAGGTAAGTGTCATTGAGACTGGAGGGCCGGCTATATCGAGATCAGGTGGCCCATCAGAGGCTGGCATATGGAAGGGGTGTAGGCCCTTGAATGGAAGGGGTGGAGCCCCACGAATATCCGTCAGGACGAACAATCCACCTCGTGGGACCACCAATGGGAGATCCCACCACTGAAGAAACACTCAAAGTCATGGCAGGCAAGTTCTGGGTTCCTCCCCAGGGTGATCAGGGTCTCTATCAGAAGTTGCATGAAGCCTCCTTGCATCCATCACCAGTCACCCACACCAAGGTGGCGCACGAACAGATACTTGAAGCAAGACAGGCACAGAGAAATAGGGCTGGAAGGGACCTCCAGAGATCATGTAGTCCAATTCCCTGCCTGAGGCAGGATCATCGCTATGCAAACCGTCCCATACAAACCATAATCTAAACTCTGCATAAGACTAGCATCAAATCTGATACAACATAGATCTAACACCCTAACCACAGGTGAAGTGGGAGAACCACGGCAACCATTGCCATGCTTCTATAAAATGTTGTCAACATACACTCAAGAGGTCCCAGGTAGAGGGCCACATCTCCTGCTACAAAGGAAGGCAAAAAAACCCACAGTCCATGCCAATCTGACCATGGGGTAAAATTTCTTCCTGAACCCAAATATGGTGATTGGTCTGACCCTAAGCAGAGGAGCATGACCCTCTAGCCTGAAAACTCTGGCTTTGGTCCCAGCAGAAGCATTGGCACATCCCACAAAGTCCTTGGCCTTGGCTACAGCCAACACTCCCAATGCCTCTGGGAAGGCTTAAAAACATCTTGATGCATATAGCAGAAGTGCTGGGGGGAGGGAAGAAGGAGTGGGGACAACCAGC